CCCCAAAACCCCAAAACCCCAAAACCCCAAAACCCCTAAGGTCATTTCCAAATTGGCAAAACCCAAAAATCCCTAAAAATTCCCAAAATATCTACTTTCTTCCTTGCTCTTGACTCAGCCTTCACCACACAGCGCACAGCTTGAGCTGTGCGCTGTAAGAATGTGGAAGGAGCAGTAGAGCAAGAGGAGGTAGAGAAAGGGAAGAGAATTTTAGGGGGGGTGAAGCTGGTCGAGGAGAGGAAGGAGGGGGATTTTGGGGTCTGAAGGCGGGGTTTTGGGGTAGGGAAAGGGAGTTCAGGGGGGAGGATTTACCAGAAAATGTGTGGGTAGGGGGAGTAGTGGTGTGATTGAGCAGGTCCGAGGGGTTGTGAAGTGGCTGGATGCTTGAGGAGGGTTAGTTAATTATGGTTAAAGGATAATTTGTTAATTTCTTTGATGAAATTGTGAACTATTTGATTTTAACAATATTTTGCTTAACTGAACTCTAATTATTCTTCTAGGGTGTTAGTTAGCCAGTAGGGGGGATTTTAAATTGATGAGAAATGTTGTGAGATCTTAGATTTCTCATCAAGCTTCTTATAACCGAATATTATGTATAAAATGATCTAGTGATAGCTAACAAGTTTAGCCCATATTCCCTTGGCGATAACTGCTTAAGAGTTATTTATCAAAATTTTAATTTGCATTGTCAAGTACAACATTGATTCCCTTTTGGATCAGCATCATCTGGGCCTTTATGAGGTCAACTTTTCATCCTTCAATCCATATGTATTCAAGAGTCTCTTTCAGAGACTCACTCTGAGAGAGGATCTGAATGATTATTTGAAACTTGTGCATGTTCAAGCCGAGGCAGCACCGCAAATCAATACCTTTGATCTCGAAGATTAGCTCAGGATCTAACCTGTACTTTGGCTTTGAGTCATCGTCAAGTGCTGTGACATCACTGATTTCCTTCTTTTCCTCACTGAACCCAGTTAGTTTGTTCCGAAACAAATCTATGTGGTGCACTGAGTGGAAATTCTCCAAAACATCTATGAAGTCTTTTTCATTGAAGCTAAAGTACGTAAAGCCAAATGAGTATTTTATAGCTTAGGAGCTAGTTTTAAGATAGGCTTCTTGACAATCGTGAACTCCTGTATTTTTGGGGTTTCATTAAAGATTCGAAATGATCGCATTTCTTTCTCCAGTGATGATTCCAAGAACTCTTGAATATCCTCATAATAATCAACATCCTTTTCTTTTGTGTCAGATCCGTTCCTGTCCAAGTCTGAGGTAACTCTCACCTGGATTTCAGGAATTTCAGGGAGTTTATATTCGCGAATGGTAGGGAGGAAGTTCTCAGTCCATATTTCAAGGGACTGGATAATTCTCCTGCTGTGTTTGATTCGTACTTTATTAATAGCTTTCTCTTTTTGATTTCTTGATTTTAAATCAGTCACTAAACAATACTTTATAAATCAGCAAAATTAAAAATTATCCTAATTTCTTCTTTAATGGTCTTTCCAAAACTATCAAATCTCCATCCAAGTCAATTTCATCAAAATTGGACTTCTAGAACTCAAAACTGAGGTCTGCAAAAACCCTAAGAGTCCTTATTCCATCACAAAACATCCAAAATATCTCTATATCTCCTACCAAATTATCTAACTCACTTAAAAAATCATTCACCAGCTGAATCAGGTCCTCATGATCAATCTCCTTAGTTCCTATTGCCTTCTGTGCATGCACCTTCGAACCTACCCTCTTGCTCGCCTGTATTCATCCCATATTAAATTTATTTATAAAATATAATTCAAAGATTCTCCAGCACTCAGGGGTTTTGGGGTTTTGGGGTTTTGGGGTTTTGGGG